AAAAAGAAGACAGTCCCCGTTTTCATTTTGGTGACTCATATTAGTATCTAAAAATACATGTGCATTCAGTTCTTTTTATTTGGATGTGTGCTGCTACAATGCCATAGGATATTATGGAAAATAAATCTGAATTTGAATTTATAAAGTTTTATTCTGTTTTAAACACAAAATCTGTAGGTGTGCTTGGTTTTCTTCAATTTGTTTATTTATAGCCACCAGTAACAAACAAAAGTCTCATAGCTGAAGAAAAGTGCTGTGGGTTAAAATGAGCATCAGGTAAATGCACGGTATCCACGGTATCACGGCATTAATGTTTAACATTTTTCTAAAAAATTAGTCTTTGGTTAAACATCATCACTCAAGCAGGTATTTATGAAAAGCACTGGGACATACCTTTAAGAGGGTGAATATTTTTTGTGTTTATGTAAAGAGATGGAGCTCACAATAGTTAATTGAAGTCATGTGGGTATCCATATTTCTTCCTTATTCTTCCAAACAGCACCATATGAAAGCCCAGAGGTTTTATTTAGGAAACACGCTAACCACCAGCTTTGGACTTAACAAGGCATTAGATGAATAAAAGATGATATAAAGCATCTCCCCGAGTGAGTCTCTCAATAATATTGTGCGTTTTATGCCCAAAGATGCCATGTTTGTACAGCTGGAAAGTCAAATCAGCCTGTGGAGTGTGACATTAAAACTGCAGGAATTCTGGCTTTTATTTCCACCAGAGCGCTCTTGTATTGTTGTGCATATAAATTTCCATATAATTCTGTATGTTGTTCTTTATGTCCTAACTGGAATATTTAACCTTACCCAGGTGGAGTGGTTGGCATTTTTCCACCAACAAGTCTTAATGCATGCATTTGATATCTTGTGGAAAACTTTTCATCAGACGCATCTGAATACCAGAATGAACATCTTTTGATTTCTATACAATAAAAATTTGGGACATAAAACATAAAGTACTGGATAAGAGAGAATAAGAGTAGAAAACCTCTCCTCACAATTTCCACACTATTTCTTAAGTCACGCTGCATGTGAGGATTGTACTGTACAAAATGAGAGAAAGACTAAAACAAACAAATGTTCTCAGGTGTAATTTTCTATCTGAAGTTGGAGCCTGGGAAACTGTTGTGCCAGGTTGTTCTTCAGACAGAGACTCTGGGTGGCTGACAGCAGCAAACTGAGGTAAACGTCAATTAAGACGTTACAGTAGATGACAGGCCTAAAGAAAACAGTGCTGAGATATGCCATCTGGGGCAGACTGTGTAAACTGAAGGTGTCTGAACATGACGCTTCAGATCAGGCTAAAATGTTAGCAGCTTTAGACTTGTCAGGTTAACATGAAAAGGCATGAGGAAGACTTCAGGTAGCTGGTGTGCCTGGAGGATGTGTATTTATAAATTAGGCTCTTTTTCTCGCACATCTGATAGATGTTTCTCTTTTGTCACTATTATTATTTTTATTGAAAAGGAGAATTTTGCAAATAATATGATATAATTCTAGAAGTATTTCATGAGCCCGGTATTTACGGCCCTGCTGTTGTTTCACGCAGCTTCACAGTGTATCTGTAGTTAACCTTAATACGATTACATTTGTATGCAGAAGCGTTTAAGCGGGCATGCTTCTTGTCTGCTGCGGACATGCACAAACACATCACAGAACTCCAGCAGCAACATTACTAAATGGATAAAAAGTTAAAAGTTTCAGTCGCTCTTCTGACTTTCACGTTATTCATAAAACTCAGCTCTTCATATGATAAAACCTGCAGACGAACTACCCATGTCTTCATTCTTAAAGACTTTTTAAAACCAAAGTCGGGCACTCACTCTGTCAGATAAATTCACAAGTCTCTGATGATGGATCACATTTTCCTCCACTACTCTGAGTTTTATGAGAACCATTGCTGCTGATCTTTTTCCAGCATGTTTAATGTGTAGAAATTGATTTTGGAGAGAAAACATCTCAGATGTGTGTTTTGTTTTCATCCTTCTTTAACACAACTTCAGAGAGCAGGAAGTGTGTGCGTCAGGAAATTTGCCCCGGTTATCTGCTTTCACACGCTCTGGCCAGCCGCCTGCCCTCAAACTGCACCAAGCTCCCACCGTGAGAGGCTGATGCACAACTTATCTACGCGCTCGTCCACATACGTGTAGATTCACACAGAAGATGCTTATATATTCCAAACAGACATGCAGATTACGCTGTGAGCATTCAGCTCTGTGTGCACCTACTCCTAAGAATACTGGCTTAAGTAAAATATATCCACTGTTACATAAAGCCTTTGGCAGCATGCATGTGTTTCAATTTGCAATATGTAAACATGCATGGATGTTGCAGTGAATGTAAAGCAAAAATCTACAATTGATTTTGGATAAGCTTGCTAAAAAAACCCTCAAACAGACAAACAAAAAAACCCACAACTCCACTTTGAAGTTGTCATGAGTTTTTTTTTCTTGCAGTGGAGCTGAGCAGCAATGCTTCTTGTTATGGGGAACTTCTTCTCAAGCCTTAGGTGAGGGTGAGAATGTGTGAGGTCACTCCATGTGACCTTTAGCTGAAGCCGCTTGGCCGTCATTGGTCGAGAGCCAAAACCCTCCTCCCCCCAGATACACAGCAGCCCCTCTCTCCTGCAAAGTGCTGAAGCTAGTTGTGTGTTGGCACCATCTATTATCTGCGTGGCCTTTATGCTACAAGTCTTCTGGAGCAGTTTTCTTGTAGCCTCCTGCTCCAGATGAATACAGAATGACTTTTGTATTTGTCGATGTGTTGCAGCAACATCACATGTGCACGTGTGAGGACAAGTTTGAATCTATGCATGGATACAAAAAAGGTGTGCATGTCTAATTTGCACGTTTTCTCCCTGAGGAAAACTCTCTGTACTGCCAAATTTGGCTTTAGCAACAAGAATATTGCTGTCCATTTAAACCACTGCCGTGATTTACTTGATGTCTTGCACCATTGCAACCCTAAAAATGAAATATTGGACAGCATTTTCTATGTTTATCTTAACCCATATCCCGCATCTGACATATTTCCTGCTTCATCTTAACATATATTAAAATGTGCAACTACAAAAATAGATTCATTGGTAAGGAGAGCAGAACGAGCTAAATGTTCCGTTTTAATAATTATATACATTTTAAAAAAATATGGATGGAATCTCAGATTTTTTTTTTTACTGCAAATAGCAGGATTTAGTGTCTTGATATGAACATTAATCCAGAAACATCTTCAGTTGAAAGATTATGCCATAAACGCCCCGTAGTTCCAAAAATATTATAAAAGTTGAAAAACAAGCCTCGTTAGGGTGTAATTAAAGAAAACATGCTGCACATTTCGACATAGCATGCAGCATTAGGCTGTTACCAAACCGTGTCATGTCTCCTGCAAACCCGTCGCTGCATGAATATTGAGAGCCTGTTAATTATTTAGATTGGCGCTGTAATGATACATGTTTGGATATTTGCACTTCTTCGCTTTTTATTTGAATTCCCAGTGGAGACGAGGTGAAAGCTGTCGACTAGCAGTGTCTCATCACGTTGGATTTTTTTTTTTAATCAGATGGCGGAACAAATCTCGCATCAAGATGTACCGGTGTGTTTTAGGAGTCCTAAAAACGAGGCAAGAGAAGCAAGAACTTGCTATTTTTTATTTTTTATTTATTTTTTTTACAGAGAAAAGGAATTGCTTACTAGATTAAATATGAACTACACGTTAATAAAGGTCATATATGTATGTTTCTGTGTTTCCCTGGTCTCGTTAAGCTTAGTTATGTCCAGAGCATTGTTTTCCGCTTTACACAGCCTTATTTTGATGCATAAATGATGCGGCACTCCCTGAATTTAGAATCTTTATTTCACTTAAATATGAGCAGATTCAGTCACGATGCAAACAAAGGGTTTTTTAATGTAATTTTGCAGAAAATGTATAAAATAACACGTCAGAAAAGGCGCAGACACAGCAGCTTTAAGTCACATATGTTGCATTCATTCAACTTTAATAAGCTCTTACCTTGCAGAGGCTCACAGAAGAGAAGAGGGAAGCACTCCTGAGCGCCGTGTCAGCCAAATGAACAATTTCCCACTCAAGCCTCTTCTCTTCAGGTCACCCTCTGTTCACATGTTGATTGTGTGGATGTGTATTGAGGCTGCAGACTTGTGTATTCGCCTAGGCTTATCCCCTGTCAGCTGATTATTGCTCCGCGTTACCAACTCCATCAAAAGGTGACACTTGCAGCTTTTGAGAGGAAAATTTAGTTGCGGAGGGTGTGGAGTTCAAGCCGCTGGACGGCCACTTCAACTCAAAATGTAAAAATAGAAGAACACTTATCTCGCGTTTGTTATTTGGCGCTTTTGCAAAAACACCCCAAATTTGGACCGTGATTGATTTTTCCTCATAATAGTTAACACCTTCTCATAAAAGATGACTTGAGTCGTCATCCAACTTGACATTACGCTTTTTCAACCTACATTTCTTTTGTTCTTTTAACACACTGTTGAATTTTTATTGTGAAACAGTGTCATATCGGCCCATTTATTTTTTAAAATATGGCTATCAATTTTTATGGGCGACACTAGAAATAAATACAGGCCGCCCGGGCTCGGATAATTTATTTGGCTTGTTGTGTGGGGAAGTGTCGCGGTGTTTCCTCCCCGGTGTCTCCGCTCTGGTTGCAGCCATGAAGTTGCACACATCCCCCGCCTCCTCCAGGCAGCACCGGCCCACATACCTCTGTATCTCTGTGTGCTCTTGTTTGCTTAAGCTTGCGAATCACGGTTTGTTTTGCTTCGTCGCGTTTGCACAACGGAAAACACACCTCAAAAAAGCGCAATGTTACAAAAGCAAATACTAGAAAGGCAAATATATACACGTATAAATCAGGTGGGATGCACAATTAGAAAGGATTAGTTATGGGGGGCAGAAAAACAGATGTGAGGCTGGATTTAGAATATGTAACTCTAAACATGATTTTGTTAAACATTGCTGATTGATAAATTACTAGGTGATAAATTCAAACATATCGTAAAATCCATATTAAAGAATGATGTGAATCAGATGGTGGGCTGTACTTCAAGTTTTCTAATAAGCCACTTCAGAAACTACCGTCTCTTCTGAGATCAAAGACGGGGAGCAAAAAAACAACCTCTAATGGACTGTTATCATTGTCGTGTGGTCCAATGCCTTTTTGTGGATTCCCGTGTTATTTCAAGCACCAGTGACCAGCCGAAGCTCTTGGCTGGGCAGGCAGACATGTATTCAACAGTTAATCTGACGGAGCATCTCGGAGTTATGTGTATTGGAGCGGCCCATTGTTTTCCTCTATAGATTAGCCGCACAAGTACCTCACATAATCGAAAGGCTATAGACAGACTGTCATTGCTTTACACTCCACTATCAGACAACTAGCACGAAGATTCAATAAAAGTCCCCCAGCATGATGTTTTTGAACAATATATTTACTTCCATTAAATAAAACACAATAGTTTTTGAATGCTGGAAAAAAAACATAGTTCCGTACCAAATAGTATACACAGAGCAAAAAAACCAAATAATTTGTCGCAGGAACATTTTTGATTTGAACTTTTTTTTTTTTAATCCAGAATTGCTATTCTAAATCGATATTCACACAGACATTAATAATAAATTTATAATATGTTAGAAACACACAACTGGTGCGTTTTAGTATGTACATTCCCTTTTGTTTGCAAGCAAAACATGATTCCTTTTTAGAGATTTTTTTTCCACATGCGTTGATAAATTGAACCTGGAGAGGACGTAGGGTTATAGCGCATTCGCCTCGACAAACAGGAGATGATAATTCAAATATATATACAACCTTTTCAGTCAATAGGTACCGTCCAAAAATCCACCAGAAAACCCTTATGAGGAGTTATGAAAAATAAAACAGGCCTTTTTTTCTTTTCTTTTTTTTTCTCCGTTTATTTCTTTTTTTCTTTTCCGCTGAGGCGCAGTGTGAAGCAGGCCTGAACTCATCAAAAGGGGAACAAACCTAAGAAGTCCCATTTCAGTTTGACTCCGACCTGTGGTTGAGCTTGTTTCAGTGGTTCAGTCTTCTAGTGCCCTTTTTGAAAAATGAAAAAGTACTTGTAGTAGTCTCTTGTTCCTGTGGCCGGCTGTTTGTGATTACCCTCACACTGCAAAAAATGACCACCATAGCAAGCTATCTGGGATTGTAATCACCCTCAAATCACATTTGCCCCTTCAAAAGAAAGAAAATGAATGTGATGCGATGGGATAATCCCACATGTTTCCTATTAGATTTTAGATTTTTACCGGAGCAAGTGGCAGTGTGTTAAGGAAAAGGGTCGGAATACTGCAAGTAACATTCCAACTGGCAAAGATCGCCAAAAAATTAAAAAACAAAATCTTGATACACGCAAAAAAGTCTATAACAATCGCACCACCAGAGATGCCCACTGTCTTTAGAGAAAAATGTAACTGTAAGCGTCCCTACTAGCCTCTTATATCTTGCTAAGATGATTATTTTTTGCAGTGCAGGTAGGTATTAGACTGGCCTGTCCACGGCATATTGGCAAGCACTCAGATTAGTGGCCGGATTCTGCACACTGGCGTATCCAAAACTCGAGTGCTGCTTGGCTTTCAGTCTCAGGCTGGCCAGGCTGGAGTTACAAGTGTCCCTGTACACATAAGGAGGGGTCGGAGGGGCGTAGGGACACGCCGGCGTGGGCACCCCCGAGTTGAGAGACGGGTTACTGAGGTTATTCAAGTTATTGAGGCTGTTGAGACTGGAGCCCGGTACGCCGGTGACCGCCGATGGCACCATGCTGGAAGTCATAGAGGATATGGAGTTGGGCGGTGAGAACATGGTTTGCGAGGATAAGGGGTTGACATTCATGGAGTTGAAGAAGGGGAAGCTTTTTGTGGATAAAGAGGCAGATGTGAGGCCCTTGGCAGCCCAGTTGTTGTATGTGTAGCTAGGGTACATGTCATCGTAGGGCTGCATGAGTCCATTGAACTGCGGGCCGAAGCCGTTTTTGCAAAGCTCTGCTTGCTGGTTTCTTTCCCTCTTCCTCCACTTGGCTCGCCGATTCTTGAACCACACCTACAGCAAATGAAAGGCAGAGGTTTAGACATAGTATATTGTTCGGCAACAGTATCGTTGTCAGTATGATATATTTATATGGCTCCGTGATAATATGTGAGCTTTACAAGTTAATAGAATTAATTTAATTTGTAATTGTTCAAATAAAATTTACTGTTTTAACACTTCATTAAAACTGTAAAAACTCCGTGTTTATCTGAGCAGAATACACACTGCGGTCTGTCTGCATTATCTTAATGCGCAGAGGATGTGTATTCCTCTGCATGCTTCCATAAACACGCTGACCTTAATCACACAAGCACAGGGCGACAATCGCAAAATACAAGCTTTGCACCTCTTTCACACGAACAGCAGAACACGACTGGTATCTGTCACCGACTAATGTCGAGCCCCTCAACTGCTAACAACATTGTAAGTGTTTAATTACACTTCATTTGGAAACGGGATGAGTCATTTTTGGGCTCTTTTAAATAAAATTACGCACCAGATTAAAATATGCCGAGAACTGTGACTTGTGCTAAAACTGATTATTTTTTCATTGTGTACAAGGGGTTCAAATTCCATTTGGCTTAATATAAACATATAGCCTAACGCTCTAATTAAATTGAGTTTTCACCAGAAGTATATTTAAACAAGACTCCGGTTATTTGTTTTTCATTTTAAAATTATGTTGTACATTATTTAAATCAAATTCCAATCGTGCGTAAAATTTTCAGTGCGTGCGTAATTATGTTAAAGAATCGGATATTTATAGGACAACCGGAAAATTGCCGCAAATTATTTGAATTTATACACACTAGTTGCTTTTGTTTACACCCGAGGGAATACTCACCCTGACTCGGGCCTCTGTAAGGTTGGTCCACACGGCTATCTCCTCCCTTGTGCTCATGTCCGGATAGCGATTCCGCTGGAAAGTGGCCTCCAGTTCCTGCAGCTGCTGGCTGGTGAAGTGAGTCCTCTGCCGCCGCTGTCGCTTCTTTTTGGAAGGGTCATCTGAAGAGTCTTCATTTTTATTTTGTATCTTCTCCTTTTCTGTGAAGAGGGAATGAAGTACTTAAGTCATCACCCAGATTATGGCCTGCACAATGCGAGGAGAAAAAAAACGATCCGAGGCTCCCGTGGGAACAGTATCCCTTAAAGGATTTATAAAAATAAATCTTTTGTTTACTTCATGTTTTGGGTTCTGAATTTCCGTTGACTTCTAGGGTTTTAGTTAACCTTTTTACTTAACGCAATTACTGAGAATATCAGAAAAAGTCGGGCTAATTTTAATTGACAACACAAGCTGTTTTCATTTACATAACTGAAACTTTTTCACTCAGCGCCGCACACAGACAGATGATCTTTTAGTAAAATGACAGCTGTAATCGCCTATTTGCATGCATGTAAAGCTCCCTTTACTTTGACTGATGAGAGCCATCTATTGTTTGAAATCAAGATGACATCTGCGGCGTCTTGCAGAGAACATCTGCACTCCGGGCGGTTCTTACCGACAGACTCCGGACTTGATGTGTCCGACACAGTGTGCACTTCTAACCGGTGTTTAGAGTCCACAGACCGCTGCAGTGGCTGCAAACTAGAGGCCATCGCCAGAGCCGTGTGGTGCGTGGAGGCAAGTTTATTCCCTGTTAGGTGATGATGGTCTATGTTTAATGGATCCCTCATAGAGTTCATCGGTAAAAGATCGCACAACCTTTAGTACAGGAAGGGTAGGCGGAAAGTCCGACTGCGGAATGTGCTCAGCTCTCCAAAAAACGCACAACCTCGCGGATCCTCTTGCGGTTGAGATAAAGCCTTCTTTGTGTTTAAATTGGAAAACGCTTTAAAATAGGCCATTGAGTTTTGCCATAGCATCGGTGAAAAACAGCGGCTACCTCGCCTGACTATCAGAGTGACAAGGACAGGTAGGTGATATTAGATCCAGAGGCATACACACACTACACCACTCACTGTTCATTTCAGCTGTTGCCTGAGCACTGTCTATCCAACTGCGCCTCTCTCCAGACCTCCACGTCACCATGTTGCGCCCGCCCATATTTTCTCTGACAGGCACGTCCATGTGAATATGACGGCGTGCCCAACCAACCGGAGCTTGCAGAAACAAGATATGTCTGCCAGTGTGTTTATGCCGGCGCTGGCGCTTATTTCTCTCTTCCAAATAAAAGCATGTAAAGAGAGATGGGACGCACGGTGTACCCGCGGCGCTCCAAAACGCCGTTGCGCAGCAGCCCGAGACCAAATAAAAATGAAAATAACACAGTTTGGCCTCATTTTATGAGATGGGTCCAGTGGCCCAGTAAAACGATGTAGTTCTATTGATACCCAAGTTGAGCTTCAGGCTGGTAGGCTCTGTCAGTGCAGTTTACTCTGGGACTCCGTGTGAATAAAGCCAGCCACTGCGCGGATTGTTTTGAAACCACAAAAAGAAAAAAGAAGAAAATAGCGCGGTGAATATCAAACACAAGCACCTCCTGGACCACAAAGAACCCGTGAAAGAACAAACAACAAATGTATCTAAGGACTGTGCCAGCTTGACCCCAAATTGTCTGTGAGCACTTGTCAACTGATGCTAATTGCCAGGCGCGCGCATTACCTTAAAAAAGAGCACATGTGCACATTGTGCTTTCATATGGACACGAAAATGCTTAATTATAACTAGCATGTTTTAACTCAGTGCTAGTGCTCAAATTACATAAAGGTAACCGGCAACATACTGAATGAATGCATTTTGCGCCTTCAGTTTTATTGTGCATTTACATCACGGTCCAAAAACGTGACCAAGCTGACTTTAACTGGTTTGCTATTCCCTGAATCCCGTATCCATCCCACATCCATCCTGGAAAAGCATTTTCAGTCATACTAGTTTTCAAATGAGGCGACTCTCTTGACCTTCCCAGACTTGAGGTTCACATATTCATTAAATCAACTGACTGGAGCTTTATACCACGCAGTCTCAGTTTGTTGACGACAGATTACTTTATCTGGGTGCTTAACTGGATCTCTCCTCACTTTGTGTTTGGAGTCCATAGCCGTTGTCAGCGAACCCCCCCTGAAGTGTTCTTTTTGGCAGAAAACCTAATAAGACTCTTAATTTGACTAATTATTTCTAATGGAGCACTTTTAAAGAGTTTGAGCTGATATGCGAGACATTTTTTTTAAAAGATCTAATTCCTAAAAGATTGTGCCGCATTAAGGCAAAGCAAACATGTCTAATCAAACAAATGCGACTTTGATTTTCATAGGCGGGTGGAGAAACGTCAGCTGGGTAACAAACAGGTGGCTGAAGTGATGGAGCGACCATAAAGGGATAGGCAACATCCGCGCCAGTTAGTGCGATCAGGAGTGCAAGTGAAAACATACATCTAAATATAGAGACACTCTAGTCACATTTCATCATAATCATCATCAAGATCATCATCATCATCAAAATCACTCTTCCACCCTCCACGTGGCCAGACTAAAGCCCATTCAGCCAGCACATTTGGGACTTGGCGCTGTTAAGAAGTTATTGGGCTAATCCCGTGAAAGCCCCTCATATATAAATACCAGCAGACCGTAGACTGCATGCAACACACACTCGCATACACTCAGACACACACTCACAAAGCCTCTAATGTAGAGCAATAAAACCTTGATCATAATTCAATTACAATCCACCAGGAGCGGCTTTATTAACATTAAATTATAATGAATGTTTTATTTATCATTGCAATAACAAAACTTTATAAAGGGTAAAAACCAGTAAGCCAAATTTCATGTAGAACAACAACAACAACAATAATAATATTAATAATTATAATAATTATAATAATAGGTATTACCTTTATAATGACGATACCTTTTATTGTTAAAAAAAAAAAAGCAAATAAAATATTATTTAGTGCCTTATTTTCCGTTAAATAACGGACGGTCTGTTGCTCCCTTTTTCTTCCAGGCGCATTGTAATACTAAACTTGAAGTGGATTATCGGTTTCCTCTTCATTTCTACCTTCTGAATGCTTTATCTCTCTTCTGCGGATTACTGCGTGCAATAGGCCTCCACCATTGAGGGCCATTAATTAGCAATTCAGTCAATATAAGGGGAGACGACAAGGCTTTTTACATAGGATTAAGCAGACATCAGATTCCTCCATTAGGATATTCCTCCTCACGAATTGGCTTTCATTATACATGTAGTTTTCCCCGGAGTCAATCCAACAAGCACTGCATATATTATAGCAAAACAGTTGACGCTGGTGTGTCTATATTTGCCGGCATCTCTCTCGATCACCCTTTTTGATTTTACTTATCTTATTACTCTTAATCAGTGGTGGTTCACGACGAGCAGCTAAGAAGCTACAATACGCGACCGTCACACATACCCAGCAATGTCGACTAAATGAAACACAATAAGACTTATTGGTTATTCGTCAAAGACACTAACAAGACCTGATGTAATTTCCTTGTCACATGAGAGAATAATTAATAATCCCATAATTTTGTCGTTCAGGATTGCAGCTTTAATTTAGTCTGATGTCGGTTTTAAGGGATTTTGGAGACTACCATTTATATGAAAGGCTCTCAGCGTATTACAGGAGAACTGACGATTAAAAAAATCTGTGAAAACTGCCGTCCTGTGTTAAATGTCATTAAAAGTAAAATTAAAAATACAGTGTAATTTGTCATACATTAGCATATTTTTAAATTAACTAATTAACTTTGCTATGCGAAGCGGCCATCCTTATCAAATCCCGGATGATCAGAGTTGTCTGTGCTCTCCTCTTACTGCTCTGGTGCTGATCCGCATTCGACCACCAGGTGTCGCTCTAACATAGCGAACCAACTCGGCTCTCTCACAACTTCTCCATATTGAGGAGTAAAAGGGCCGAAATACAGGCATATAAAAAAGGCTACATCAATATAATGAAATAAAAGAAAACATCAAAATACCACATATGCGCACAAAGCAACTTTTAAAACACGAATAAACAGATATGAGCGAAGCCGTGAGGATAAAATGTAGGAAATTAATGATATTCCTCTGAAAAATTAATCTGGTCTTCTGATCAGAAACGGCACAAACGAAGAAGTTGGGCTCGCTGGTAAACCTGTTGCCTAACATGTAAATATCTATTTGTTAATACTGACATGTAAGTGTCAATATAATCTGTGGTACTTCAAAAAAAAAGTGCATTAATAATTGTATATTATTGTGTTTTACGTTTAGAGATTTTGGGGACATTTATGATATCTAAACGTTGACAAATATAAAAAATATTCACCTTTTTTTTAATATTGTTACTGTAGGTTTGTAAAGCATTTTCTTAAGATGTGGAAAGTAACACACTCTTTTTCGTTATGTTACTAAATGATTTTCTTTTAATTTAGGTGAAGTGAAAAATTGTATCAACCTGTGTAAACTAACACACATTCTTGCAAAAGCTTTTTATTTCTATTAGAATGAGAACATTTGAAATTGTTACTCACCTATTTGTGCGCAGGTGGTGACCAGTTTACGGCAATGGGAGTCCATTCTGATAATTCAAAGAAACAGCTTCTGTAAAAAGAAACAAAAAAGCCACAATTTGAGACTGCGAAAAAGTCCTCTGAGTCGTTTATTATCATCAAACTCTAACTGTGCAGTCAATAATTCGGGAGCCTACGTGAGGACTATGATGTGGTCAAGGGGCAATCCTTTGATTGTAACAAGAAAGAAAAAGAAAAAGAATTCCTTTTGAAAACTGGTATATTTGAGTGAATGGCAAATGATGATAATGGGACAAACATAAAAGCAAAAATATATAAGAACATGGCGGGATTTCAGCGGCGGTGCATGATGATGACACTATTGCAAAATGTGGATCTTGATGAGATTTTTTAATTTTTATTTTTAATTTTTTATTTTTTAGTTTGAACGTGCCATTTTTGAAAGAATTTTGAGTTTAACTTCCGGTGTGCACGAAACAAGGAATAGATCGCAATAATCAAGTGAATAATCTCTTAGTTTTGAAGGTATTTTTTTTTACTTAATTCTGATAAATTACAGTTCAAAACTCATCGTGATTTTACGTTATGTGTTTTTTTCTTATTTTTGCACGGTGTGGAAAACCCTTCATGTGTTTTGCACGAGCCGGATTCTGTGTTTTGGTGCTGCCTGGTGCAGTTGGGAGTGGAGTGATTCCGTAGTAAAATCATGGGATTAGAGTCTGATTGAGATGTCTGTCGGTGGGATATTACAAAATTCATTATCGCAGCCCTCATACTACCTCGATATGAAGTTACACAGATGGGATTTTATTAGTCCAGGCTCACAATGTTTGCTTATGATAATTCAAGTCGGGGGAAATTTGCATCCAGTCATGCTGTTAACCATTTTCCTCAGTTCTTCTCTTCACCTGCTCTACATCATCTGCGAGTTTTTTTTTCTTTCTCTTTTTTTTCATCCTTTAATTCAAAAGATGCAGATATTGGAGGTTAAGTTTTACATGCTGTGTACCTGCACAACCGTTCTTCGCATCCCTCCTCTGTATCCCCGCTGCAAAATGAAATAGTGGGGGTCACGCTGTAAGGTGTAAGGTTATTGCATGCGGCTCGGTGTTACCTAATCAGTGAAATTTAATGAGAGGTTCGTCCAATATTTCAGTCTGTCGTGCTGCTCCACAGTCTCTGAAGTTACACACATTTTTTTTTTTAATTTATTGTTATTAATTTTGTTTTATTGTGTGAAAATTTAACTGCAATTTCAGCTTTGAATTAACGACTTGAGCATTTTTTTTCTTTTGTTGTCTGTCTTTTGTGCAGAACGCTTCAAAATTCGAAGAGTGCCTTTTCCTTTAAAGTTAGAGAGGAAAAGCATTTTTTTTTAAAATCGGAAGTTTCCCATTTAAGACGAACATCACCTTAGTATGATCTTTAAATTGCCTCATTCATTAAGTCAAATTTGAAAAGATATATGTGGGCAACTGTAATAATAATAATAATAATAATAATAATAATAATAATAATAATAATAATAA